TGTCTCAGAGGCGTATCTTCTTTGGTCTAAGGAGATAACTTTAAAGATGTTCTACACTCGCTTCGAGCCTAACCCAATGTCTCAGAGGCGTATCTTCTTGGGTTGTTTTTAACAATTAAATTTTAAAAAAGTTAACATAGTAGAAAATAAGATGAGAAATGTATGTTAGGGATGAGATTTTGATCTTGAATCATTTTGTCATCTTAAATTGTCCTTGTAACAACTAACCCTTATTCCTAATCATTACTAGTTATGTAGATTATCTATTCCTAATTTCTTAGAGAATAAATTTTAGTTTTAAATCAATTCCTAGTAAATTATATATAAAATCAAGTAGGTAGCCATCGAGAAAAATTCAGTTTCCATATCCCTAGGTCTAGGTGATAACTAATCACGAATGTTTCTAACAAGCATTACTTGTTAAAATTCCTTTCTAACAGGTAACCAGGTGACAATTAGCAATGGATCAAAGAGGGAGAAACATTAATATGGATAGAAATAAATCATACTGGAATAAAATACTTAGTCATTACAAATATCAATTCATAATTACAAATTTAATCAATAACAATTACTCATCCCTACCATTATGGAGTCTACCTACTCATAACTTGAATAAAAGACATTACTAAAGTTATTAACATTACACAATAATCACAAAGAAGGAAGCTTCAATGGATTAATCCGTTTAATTTGTGCTTTTCGTCGTTCCTACCGTGTTTGCCCTTCTCCAAGAGGATATTTTGTTGTATAAATTCAAAAAGAAGTGTCCAAATAAAGTTTCCTTCATTTGAATTTAAAATTGGATATTTGGAATTTATTGACGTCCAATCACTACCAAACTATTTAAAACACATTTGGACATAGTAAAATAGCCATGATAAGCCTTAAACGCGTTTGGGGCATTTGGACTCTAGCATACACATTTGGGCAGAGGAGAAAAAAATGATAATTTAGCCTTTGACTTCTTCATATGATTTTTATCCCTTGATGTTAGCTTTCATTTGCCACTGATCGCATGTCAGTCATAGTTACTAAGATCTATATATGGTCAAACTACCGCATATACATCATGATGTAAAATATGTTGAAAAATAAAATTTGTGAATCCTTCTAAAAATTTCTCGCATTCCTTTTTTGGCACTTTCTTTGACTTCCTTTGGCCTACAAAACACGTTAAAAATTTTCCAAAACATCATATTATTAAGAAAATATACTTGAATTCTTATATACCTCATTTGTTGATAAACTTCCAAAACTTACTAAGTTTATTATTCAAAAACCTTAAAAGGCTAACACATTCAATTTAAAGGTAAGGATAAAATATATTAAAATAGTGACTAATCGGTGGGTCCTGATGTTCTACGTGTTTTGGTATAGTAAAGGAGTTTGTGTGATATCATGTACGCTGAGATGTACTAGAAACTAGGTTTACATCTAATTCTGCAACCATACTACAAAGGAAGTCTCCAAGGTTTTGAAGGAGCGATATCAAGACCTTTGGGACATGTTGAGCTCATGGTGGCCTTGGGAGTTAGAGAAGAGATGAAAATTGTTTGCTTAAACTTAATGATCATCGAGTTTGACTTTGTGTACAACTGCGTCCTTGGGAGACTGGCATTAGTAATTATATGAAAAGTCTAATCGACCATTCATATAAATGTCAAATTTCATACCCCGGAGGATCAAATCGTGGTTCTAGAAATAGATTTGTACTTGTACCAGACATGCTTCCAAGCTCTCTACTCAAGAAACAACAAATATTAGAACACCACCTCCCAGAGGAAATAACCAAAGAAGAGCTGTAATTATATGCCCTTTTACAAGATCATCTCCCCGATGAAGCTATATGGAGAAAAAGGCATACCCATTGATGGCGTGCTTCTTGTTAAAGGTGATAGTTTTCGGCCCAAAAAATGAAAGACTCGCTCCCATAGAGGATATGAAGGAAGCCTACATTGGGCCCTTTGACCATTAATTCACCAAATTAAGCACCTCATTATCTGATTTTGAGGAGGAATAGTTGGTCTCCTATTAAGGAGGAACATAGACTTGCTCTGAGGGCCCTTTGATATACCAAGAATAGATACAAGAGTGGTCTCCACCCACCTTGTCATCGATTTTACAATGAATCCAAAGTCTTCGAGGTAACGCAATGTAGGTAAGGAAAGAGAGTGGCCATTGATGAGTAAGTTCAGAAGTTGAGAAGTGCCGACTTTATAAATGAGGTAAAATACCCATCTTGGATGGATAACATAGTTTTGGTGAGGAATTCGTCAAAAAAAATGGCGCATGTGCGTTGACTTTGCTAACCTTAACGCCACATGCCCTAAAGATTCATATCGTTCACCCAACATAAATCGTATGGTTGAAGGATACTTAGGCTATAAAACATTAAGTTTCATGGATGCCTATTCCAGAAACAATCATATTAAGATGGTACGTGTAGGCGTGTCCAAGATAATTTACATGTCCAATCACAATAACTATTACTACAATGTCACGTCCTTTGGGCTAAAGGATGCAAGTTCCACCTATCAAAGACTCGTGGACGTGTTATAATCAAAGCAAATTGGGAGCAACCTAGAAGTCTATGTTGATGACATGATAGTAAAGATCTCATAAGGGAAGAGCCACACCACGGACCTAGAAGACATCCTAGAATCAATCAGGAACTACAACATATGCTAAATTTGGCTAAGTGCTTCTTTGGTGCACAAGCGGACAAGTTTCTAGGTTTTATTTTAACGAGGAGAGGTATAGAGGAGAACCCACATAACTATCATACCATCATCGACATGATTATCTCTTCCATTGTTAAAGAGGTTCGACAACTAACGAGGTATTTAGTTGTCCTATATCATTTCCTTTCTTGTGCAGGGGACAATGTATTTCATTTTTTCCCACTTTGAAGAAAAATAAGAAGTTTTAATGGATGCAAGCAAAGTTTATTTTCATTTTCCATCCACATGAAAAACGAGTAAGATGGTTCCGCAAATAAGGTGATATTAAAGGAAATAAAGAAGTTAGATGATGCCAAAGGACTTTGGGTTGAAAAGCTTCATGAAGTGTTATGGTTATATCATATCACCCCTCATTCAACCATAAAAAGATTCCATATACAATTGTATACACACGGATGTCAGGCTACCTATTGAAATTGACACACTTATTTGACAGCGCTCTTAGCCCAATACGGAAGAGAATGATGTATGGGCAAGATGTGTTGCCGACCTAATTGACTAGACGAGAGATGTCGCCCACATCAAAGAATTCGCCACCAAGTAAAGAGTCGCCAAAGGTACAACTTGATGGTGGTTTCGATAAAAATGCAAGAAGGCGACCTAGTACTTAGACAAGTTGTTGTGCCCATCCATCATGGAAAAATATAACCCAATTGAGAAGGGTCATTACCTCATATGTTAGAAACTACCTCGCAGAGCCTACAAGCTCAAAGAGCTAGATGGACGACTCATTCCCAGAACATGGAACTTACTTAACCTTGATATTGTTATGGCTAATTATTTTTTAGATATTTATTTAAAGGAAAAAGACATTTGGCCAACAAGTTTATGAATTTCTTTGAAATACCTTATTGTCATTTACATAAGGTTATTCTTTTATTCAATCAATATAAATGCTAGACTTTCACTGGAAGATCTTTGTCACCCTTAAAAGGCCATCTAAATGTTTGATTTCATTGGAAGATCTTTGTCGCCCTTAAGAAAAAATACAAATGTTAGACTTTCCTCGAAAGATCTTTGTCGCCCTAATGGAGACTATAAATACTAAACTTCAATAAAAATATCTCTTGTGGAGCAAAAAGTAACAACTTAGAGTCTCGTATGAGAGAATCAACTTAAAATCTTTCCTAAAGGACTCAACTTTATATCTCACCTAAGAGACTCAATTTAGAGTCTCGCATGAAGGACTCAACTTAAAATCTCGTCCGAGGGACTCAACTTTGAGTCTTTCCTGAAGGACTCGGCCTTGAGTCTCGTCTGAGGTACTCAATTTACAGTCTCGCCTAAGGGACTCAAAGAGACTCGGTTTAATGTCTCACCTAAAGGAATCAAGTTTAAGTCTCCATGAGGAACTCAACTTAGAGTATCGCCCAAATGACTCAACTTAAAGTCTCTCTTGAAGGACTCAACTTTAAGTCTCGTCTGAGGGACTCAACTTAAAATATCATCTGATGGACTCAACTTGAATTCACCTAAAGAGATCCAAGTAAAGAAAATAAATTAAATCACTTTGCCCTTTATAAAGATCTCGTGTTTAAGAATTGTGTATAGATATTGATATAAATGTAAAGTCCCCACCCCCCCACCCCACAAGAGGGGCACCAGAACTCTCTCAGGATAGGAAATGGGGAATGTCGCCTTTGCGAGAGGTTCCCTAGTTATCCATTTATTAGGGTGGGCACTTGTTTCTTAATTATATCGCTCATTCCATAGATTGTTCACCTGATTCTTGAGAACGTGACAACGTTATGGGAGTGAGAGTCAATAGGAAAAGAATCATGTTCTTCTAAATAATAAGGAATTGAACATCTACATTTCTCAATTCAGAAATTCAAATGTTAATTTATGGTGGATTTTTACGGCTAATAGCCAAAACCATATCACTTAACGAGTTAAAACATTATTGAAAATTTAATGATATGAAAGCTACGAAAAAAGAATCAGCAACCAAGAAAGATTTAACCACCATAGAGGAGGAAGTGCTACTTCGCACATTGTCATTATCTTCAAGATCAAGTTTGTATCAAGTTCGTTCATGTTTTGAATGTTGTGATATTATATATTTGAATAGCAATGAAACCAATTAAGAAAGTTGACATAAATGTCTATGCTAATAAGTAGGCTTTTCAGATTCATAATATACAACACCCTACTCAGTAGTATGTTTATGGCGAGTTCACAGAGATAACACTCTCAAATACAAAACAAATTCATAAACTCCATTGCTAGCAACTAAAAAGTGAAACTCATCAAAATTCAGTGAACTTTATTGTCTTTGTTTCCACTACAAATAGCCAAACCAGCTAAATCATGACCCTCGGCAACAGAGTTCAGATCAGACCAAGAATACGAACGCAAAGGGAGATCCCTTGTCGGAGGACTAGGACGAGGACGAGAAGCACTTGCAGAGGACATATTACCGGCTTGTGGATGACGAGGAGGAAGCGGACAAGGAGGAGATATTGACCTGGAAGTGGAACTCTTCCCTTCATCACTACTGTCAGCGTTGGCGCTCAGATTGAGACACGACGTTCGCCGGCCTAAGTTAGAAGTTCGCTTTGAGTTTGATATTCCACCGACATTTGCGTAACTGCGGCTCCTTCCCATTAGTATGTTTCTTGCTAGTAAATCCTTCCGTTTTTTAGCATAAGGGTCCTCTGCTTTTACTATCTCTTGAACACATGTTGCACCTGCTGCATCTGCTAAGTTTGTGAATGATTTTGATTTGCCAATATAAAAGTTGGATATGCCTTTCCTGAATGACACAACAGAAAGATGTGAAAGTTGAAACGAAAATGTTGTTGACTAAAATTGTAACTTTTTCTCATGATTTTTAACTTATAGTATTTATTTATTGGTCAAATTACTAAATATATCCAAACATAAATTCTAATATTTCATACAAAGGAGACATGCTGGAAAGAGAGTAAAGACCTATGCACCGGTCCTTTAGATGATTAATTTGTGTCTGTCTGTCTGCATTTATTGAACCTAACACAAATGACAAATCTATGTGGCAGCTAGCTAACACCACACCAACGTGTGGACCTGTTCTATTAGTATCAAATTTCTCATACGTATTTGGACACACAGTCTAGATGCATTTGATCAAGAGAAATACAAAAGGCGAAGAAGGAAATATATCAGCCAATCTACCCCAAAATAGAGTGGGATCAAATCTCAGAAAAAGTTTAAACAAAAAACATTTGATTTTTTTAAATAGGAAATTAAAAATCCAAGTAATTCTTAAATATAGTATTAAATACTACTATTAAATATGGATGGGCAAGTTGGATATCCATCGTCCATATCCACTCACACTTGAACAAGTTGGAGTAAAATTAATGCAGTGGATCCACTTGCAAGCAGTCCAAAACTAGCTGCCTCTACTTAGAACCAAATTCATAATGGTATCCACTCGTTTTATATTATAAGCAAATTTATTCATAGAATAACTAATGTATAAAATTTACTTATAATATGTAACCGAGAGAGTACAATATTGTAAACTTTCATTATCCAACCTTATTCCATTAAATAGGATCGACCACCTGAATCAACTTTTGCCTTAATGGTCTATCCATAACACAATATTGAAACCCTATTTTGTACTTGAGACACAATATTTCAGGCTCTAATAATAGAGGTTACACAACTTGATATAACTTTTCTTATTTTAACCAAAAGTAACCCCACAATTTAGATGCTCTTTTCTGTCCAATAAAAACCTAGATGCTATTTCCCTTAATGCTCACACTAACACCAACAGTAACAGGACAACAACATGTGATATTGATTAAAAAATTTAAAACAAAACACATAACCTAATCATTACTTACTATAAACAACAAGTAAATAACCCAACACCTCAGGGGTAAAACAGTAAATTCAGAAATTCACGAAATCAAATAAAATGAATGATAAAAAAAAACTTACTTCACCGGTAAATCTTCCTCCAAATCATTCATAGTATCCAAAGGGCTTTTCTTCTCAACTTCACCGGAGTCTTCCAGTTCCCGGTCAGAACAATCATCCGAATCACTGTTACTTCCTAGAGAAGAGTGCGAGGAGCCGCAAGAATCAGAATCAGAATCCTCCTCCGGAAAATCCTGATCGCAGATCGAGACATAATCGGAGAAGCTGGATCTTCCGTTGGATTCGAGAGACAACGGCATCGTTTCAGCAAAGATTGCGTAAGAGAAGGGAGAAGAAGAGCAGTAGATTATGGTATGTGAATGGGAATAGAAAAAGAGGCAGTAAGAATAGAGAGAGTTGTGGTTTTGTGGATATAAATATCTGGTTAGTGGCACATGGGTATCAGAATTTTTCCATAGCTAAAGGAAATAGTGATTGGTAAATTAATTTTTTATTCTAAAGTTTTTGGATTAAATTTATAGGAATTGTCGTGGAAAATAATTAAAGAATAAAAATAAGGTGGGTGGCAGGACATCTTATCCTCATTCAATTTAATATTTATAATTGAATACTGTCTGTTTGGCAAATAAAAAAACAAATCTTTTTTTCTGTTTTTGAGAGGAGATGTTTCTGGTGATGGCTGATAATTTGTTGAGTATGGACCGTTCGATTGGGTTCAAAGTTTGTTTTTTTAACAAGATAATTGAATAATGTCTATTTGGCAAATAAAAAAACCAATTTTTTTTTTCTGTTTTTGAGAGGAGATGTTTCTAGTGATGGCTGATAATTTGTTGAGTATGGACCGTTCGATTGGGTTCGAAGTTTGTTTTTTTAACAAGATAATTTATTAAAAAGAAAAATAATTACATACTGAAATAACCTAATTTTACCTCAATATTACCTAATTTAACCATTATTTTAGCATATATGTTTCAAATAAAAAACAGTAATGCTATTAGTACGAAATAATTTGAAGAAGAAATGCAAGAATGCACACGTGTCACTATTTTAGAGATGAATTTTAAATTAATTTTAAATTTAATTTTATTAAAATAAAAATTATAGGGTAGCGAAGGTAATGAATGATTGAGATTTATTCTTCCATTTCTGGTTTTCACTTTTCTTATTAATAAGCATCTTAAAAAAAAACTCATTCGTAATAGAGAGCGCCAATAGCAGCTCAACTCCTTTTAAAAACAAAGAGGGAATGTCAATAACACCCCAGCCCCCTTTAAAATTCAAGAGGCGACGTCATTCAAGTTTCAGCCTCCTTTGAAAGTTATTATTGTAGATATCGAATAAGTTAACGATCTTGTAAACGTCTGATAGTTGCAAGAATGGGTCTTGACAAACACTAGAACATGTCACAATGACATGGGAACAAGACATACGGAAGGTTTGAAACTTTCTGCTGTCGCACCAATTATTATGAATTTCCACCCGGTAGTATCCCATTGGTCAACCCTCATTGTGATCATTTGTCTCGTCAACAATGAAGATGTAATCGTGACGGTCAAATCCTCTAACGCGATGTGAGGTTGCTTTAATAGTTTCCTCCTTCATAAATTCCATGTAGTTTTCACTGAATAATTGCCTTGATTTCAATACTGCGCTCCATTTTTTACCTCTGGTCGCAAATAGTGATCCCAACCTATAATAGGTTTCTCTCATTAACGCATTGATGGGTAGGTTCCTAGTGTCCTTAAATATGTCGTTCATGGATTCCACAAGGTTTGTTGTCATGTGGCCACATTGGCGTCCTTCATCAAATGCCATTGTCCCCTTCTCCACAAGAATGTTATCCACCCATCTTAATGCCCCCGAATTCACAAGTTTTTTACAAAGATTTTTGTCTTCGATTCCCCGCATGAAATTTTGAGCAATGTGTCTTATGCAGCAGACATGGATAGAAGGAGGATTGTGCCAACCAATAGCAGGATTATTGTAAGCGCTCTCAATAGACGCATGTCTTTCGAAAATCAAGCATAAGTTAGGCAATGGAGTGACATGTGTTCTGAGATTCTTAAGGAAGAAACTTCAACCTCCGTCAGTCTCACCTTCAACTAGAGCAAAGACAATTGGAAATATATTATTGTTTCTGTCTTGTGCAACTGCCATTAGCAATGTTTCTTTTTATTTTTCATACAACCATGTTCCATCAACTTGAATAACAGGTTTGCATAATGCAAAACCTTTTATGCATAGTTGAAATGCCCAGAAGAGACGAAAGAATATTCTAGTTTCGTCAACACGGGTTCCATCAAGAGTATATGCTGAAAGCGACTCCAAATCTACAACGGTTCCAAGAATATATTTTTGAAGTGCTAGCAGATACTGTGGAAGTTGATTGTAATATTTTTCCCAATTACCATATACTTGTTAAACTGCCTTAATTCTTGCAATCCAAGCTTTCCTGTATGATGAAATATAGTTAAAATGTGCAACAATATGAGAGATAATTGTGCTCACTTTCACAGATGGATCTATGCCAACAAGATGCAAAATCTCTTGGCATATTAATTGAGAGGTTAGTTTACCATGATCTTGTCGAAGAATGGTGGTTGTGCAATTGTGAGGTGGATTAATCGAACCTATCTCCCAATAATCACTTCTCTTCTGATAAGACGATGCTAATCGAAACTTGCAAAGCTTGTTACGACAAACTATCACATAACGTTTTGCATTTGTGCGATCTACTTCAAAATCAACAGAATTATCCATGTGAAACCTTATTATAGCTTACACATATTCTGCTTCTGTGCGGTACTGGTTCCCCACTTTTAAAACACTTTCAATTTGTTGAGAAGGATTATATAATAGATTTGAGGATGGCTCGTCTCCATCCAAATGCAAGTTAGTCATGTGCTGAGGAGGATAATAGATATAACTTAATGGTAATGCATCTTGATCTACATCTTCAACTGAAGTGTTTGCAGTGTATTCTCCAGTCCCAAACAAATTCACCATATAATCAACCAGTGCCACACTTTCTTCTTCCTCCTCATCGACAACATCAACTTCATCTTGTTCCAATATCTGAGATCGGTCAAGTATTTGTGATTGATCTATTACTTGAGATTCGCTAAAATTTTGGGATTGTCGAGGTTGACTGAGTAATATATATAACTTAATATAATTGAACCCAGAGTGTTCATGGCTTTCAAACATGCTTTGAACATCTTCGTCGCCTCGTACCTTGTGCTGCAAATATTTTACCTAGTTATTATAAAAAAAGGATTTTTATATATAATTTGAGATATTGGACCAGAAATTACCTTTGACTCTATTCAATCTTTAAAATGAAAGAAAGTTGATTTCCTGCTTATTGTAAATCGGGTAACATCGGTATTTTGCAAATCGAAACTAGAAATATCAGAGGCATATGTCTCTCCATTAATATGAGAATTAACAACATAATTTGATGCTTTAGACATTTTTTGTAGTGAATTTGGTACAAATGAAATGTTTTGTAGATGAGTTGTTGCATGTTGTTGCACCCTAAAATTTGACCAACTGATTCTCCTATATGACTCATGGTTTAAATTTCATATTCGCAAATCAGACAGATGATTTTTGTGCACAGCAGGGGATATCAGAGTTTACAGCTTGATTTTTGTCTATCAGATATGGCAGACCCAGTCCAGATTATCGGGGTTTTATTTTCGGGAAATTGTGCGCTCCTCAGTGATTTTTAGCTTGCACAGTGATTTTGAGGATATTCTGATGCCCGGGGATTTCTGTTCGATTCGATCTGGTCTCGTGCGCTCTTTTACGGGGGTCATTTGCATTCATCTGCATTTTTAGGGTTTAATAGGCTTTTGTGAATTTTTAGCAGGCTTTATAGATTTTTCTGGAATTTAAATAGGGTTTTCGTATTTTTTTTAATAGTTTAATGCTCTTTTTAGGATTTTATAGAATTTTTAAAAGGTCTTTAGAATATAAATAAGATTTTAATTGGTTTTATCTTTTTTAGAATAATATAGCTTTTCTTTTATTAATAATAATAGATTTTAATAGACAATAATAGTTTAGAATTTTTCTATAGATTTTCAAATAGGTTTAATTACTTTTTAAATCATTTTTAGAATTTTCTATAGATTTTAAAATAGGGTTAAGTGTTTTAGATAATATAGAAATAATATAGTTTCTTTTATTAGTAATAGATGCTAGTATTAAATAATGGTAGAAGCTTAATAGAATTAGTAGAAATATAGAATTAATTAGACTTTTAATCATTTTTTAGAGTTAATTAGGTTAATTGAGTTTTTTAGAGTTAATTAGGTTAATTGAGTTTTTTAGAGTTAATTAGGTTAATTGTTTTGATTAGACATTAATCAAATTCAGTTAATTGTTTTATTATTCAGTTTTTTTACAGATTTTTGGGTCAATTTCGTGGGCCAGGGTCCAATTTTTGAGGCCCAGATCTCATCAGCTCAGAAAGTCCAAACAAGTCCAATTTGTCCAGCAGTTCTCAGAATTCTCCAGGAGTTTCCAGAAGGTTCCACGCGTCTCCAGTAGTATAAAAGCAGACACGTGTTAGCAGAGGAAGGGTCCCACGCGTTTTGCCTTGAGAACGCCACCACCCACTCAGAATCCTCCCAGACTCCTCCACGTGTTCACAGCTGTCCCCCATTTTCTCTCTCTCTCTGCGCATGCGCGCCACCTGTCCTCCCCTCACCTCCTCACCGGAACTCCCCTGACCGGCATGCAAGTCCGGTGAGCCCCCACCGCCGGCCACCGCCAACAGACTCCGGCCACCGTCTCACTCACCGGAATCTGCAAACAACCGTTTTTTCCCCAGAAATTCATCTCCTTCCTCCGATCTCCTCCCTTCCACCTTCATCATCTTCATCCCCTAATTTCCAGAAATCACCTTGAACATCAATCCTCCATCAAGATTTTTCCAGAATCACCTTCATCCTCCATCAAGATTTTTCCAGAATCACCTTCATCCTCCATCAAGATTTTTCCAGAATCACCTTCATCCTCCATCAATTTTCTCCAGAATCACCTTCATCCGTCATACAACATTTCTCCAGAACCTCTCAAACCTTCATCAACCTTCATCAACGGTTTCCAGAAATCAACAACCTCCATCTTCTTCCATCAACTTCATCCGTTCTTTCAAAACAATCTTCATCAACCAACTCCAGGAAGTCTTCAAGATTCTCAACGCTCGCGTTCAACCTTCCCTCCGCGCTCTCGTCTTCTCCAAAGTTCCTCCACCGTGCATCAAAGATCAAAGCGTCTCTTAGATTTG